AAAAAAAAAAAAAAAAAAAGAAAGAGAAAGAAGAAGACAGCGGGAGAGAGGAGGCGAGGGAGGTAGGGAAGAAGAAGAGGATTGGCAAGGAAGAAGTGCCGGCAGCCATAGCTGACCGGGGAGTTGACCGAGAGGGTTGACCGGAGGCGTTGACCGGAGTTGACCGAGGTTGACCAAGGGTCATAGCAGCGTTGACCAAGGCGTTGACCAAGACTTTGACCAAGCTGGAATTGGTAACATCTCGCCAAGCCCTTAGCCTACCCCTTGCCCTATGGATGTGCACATACCCCTTGGTACTTGCTGAGTACAGTCTGTCTGTCCACTCTTTCTGCATTGAGTCTCTTCTGTCCTAGGTCATAGAACTMTGTGGATGAAGGATAGGGCCTTGCTGCCAAACCTGCACGAGACTTAGTAGGACTAATCTCTACTCTGGTATCTGGAGACCTGGGTATGAGCGGCGAGCGCTCGTTAAACAACTCGTCTAGCCCAATGACCGGTACTGTCCGGCAGGTCTACTCAGTTTCAGTGTAGAGGGTCCGAACTCTGAGCTGCAGGCTGAAACGGAGGCCGTCTTTAAGTGTTGAGGGCCTGTTGGAACCACTCCCCTACCAGACCAAGTAAGGCTGATGATCTGTGTCTGACRACTYGACTGTCCCGGGGGATACGAACCCTCCCAAGGACGGGTACAGACCGGCGGGCTGCTCGGTGTGGCACAGTAGGCCGGAAAGGCTGAGTTGTGGGCTGAAAGCACAGGCAGAACCAAGCTGATCACGTCGYCCTGTYTGCGACGTTAAAGAATTCTTGAGGAGTTACGGGGGATCTCCTTAAATGCCTCCTGATCAGCCACTGGTTCAGTAGTGACAGCCATAGTGTAGGTCTAGGCTAGAGACCATAGTTGACAGGATCCCTGTCAGGATTCTGTGAGTCTTAGATTGAGTCAGTAGGTCTGCCAGTCAGGAGTTGACGTCTACGTGGTGAGGTTTGGAACCACTAACCCGGTTGTACACTTATCACCATGGTTGAGACCCGTAGTGGGAAGGAGACTAGCCCCTACACCACTGAGCAACAAGAAAAGATGGCCGCCTTAGTCAAAGAGAGTGAGGAGAGGAAAGGGCGTGAAAAGCAAGCCAAGCTAAAGGCTATCGCAGATGAGCAGGCGGCGAAGATGAAGAGATTGGAGGAGGAGATGAAGAAAGTASAACAAGAGGAGGAAGAAAGAAGAAAAGGTGTTGAAGCAGGCAGCAGAAGAAGAGAAAGAGAGGATGAGGATTGCGAGTGGAGAAGGGAGTAGTAGTGGCACGATGGCGAGGGAGACAGATATAGGGTTGGAAAAGAGGATCAGCGAGTGGGTCGCTAATTTATCGTTGGGAGAAGACGAGGAGGCGGAATCCTATGTGACTAAGGATGAGAAAGCTGCGCTGGCCGCTGAGCTAGCAGCCATGACAGACCCGATGGAACGAAGAGAGAGGGAGGAGGAACAAAAGTTRGCATGGAAGCTGAGGATGAAGAGAGAGAAGAAGAAGAGAAGAGAGGAAGTGAACAAGATGACCGTAGAAGTGGCAAAGGTGCAGGCGTGCAGACAGGAGGTGCTGGCCCAGCCAGATGACAAGGCCAAGTGGGACAAAGTACTGGGCTATCTAGAGGTGTTGAGCAAGGCCTGGATGGAGGAGCGCCAGGCAAGCTGGAGCCAGGATGTAGCGTTGAGTGCCATGCGATCAGGGTTTAGAGATTTCGCGCGCGAGTTGGTCACCCATATTGGGGGCGAAGTGAAGCAATTGAGAGATAATGTAGGGAAGTTTTGTGAGGGCGCCATTCAGGGTGCCAAAGCAGTAGCCGCTGTAGAGGGAGAGGCCAGACCCCGTAAGGACCCAGTGAAACTTAAGTTCCCAGACGCGTATGGGGGGAAGAAGGACGAGAACTTTGACAAYTGGGAGRCCAGTGTCAATAGTTACATTTATTTACAGCATATCCTGATGGAGGAGCAAGTCCTCGTGGCCTTCCAGGCCCTGAAGGACGARGCGGCTAGCTTCGCTAGGTCTCTCGCGCGTACGGCCGGTTGTGAAAACAACCTGGTTGCATATTCTAAAGTCACCCCTCTTTCCCAATTCCTCAGGCTTCTCAAGGAGCGTTTCGATGACCCAACGAGAGGCATAAGAGCCTCCGACAAACTTCAAACGATCCACTCGCGGCAGTGGAGGAGTGCTAAGGCACTCAAGAGTACTATGGACGACTTGGTAGCCGTCCCTGACCACGGGGTCACCGAGCCCCAGTTGGTCAAGTTGTTTTATCGTGCCATCCCAGAGGCCCTACGCGGGCATTTCTTTGACAAGTCTCAGCAGGCCGACATCACATATGATCAATTGAGTAGGGAGGTCGTCCTGTATGAGTCAAAGTCTATGCCAGTTACCACTTTCTGGCATAAGGACYTDRAGAARGGGAAGAAGTGGAAGAATCGTACTATCTCAGGCCAAGTAAAGGCCAAGGATCATATGATCCTGACGTTAGAGGAAGGTGGTACTGATGAGGTCCCGTATGATCAGATTGAGTGGGGCCTCGAAGATGGCAGTAGTGTGGGGCAGGGGAGATCTTACGCTGCTGTCGCGGTCAGAGGGAGGCCGCAAGGTAGAGGAGGAGGCCAGGGCCAAAGGGGCCAGGCCATGGGAGGCCGAGGACCGGGCGCACAGGGGGTTGGCGGACAGGGAAACCTCCAAGCGGGAGGTAGGGGTCAAGGTCCCCCGTTAAATCGCCAGGGTAACCGGTCCCCACAACGAGGAGGTGGAAGGGCGCCTCAAGGAGGATGGCACCCAGGCTTGCCGCAGGGCAGGCCCTGGAAAGATCTGGGCTTGGACCAGCGCTTATGGCAGGAACGCGTGAACATGGGTCAGTGCGTATTTTGTGGTGACCCGACCCACGTTATCAAATTTTGT